CGGCATGTCCAGTAAATTAAGTTTTGGGGGAAATCGAATTTTGTTTTGGAGGTATCACTTTTTAACGACCCATTTGTCAACCCCTTCATTAAGGACAAACTACCTTTTTACACGTTCAATTTTCAATCTTACTTGAAATAAGAATCGTATGTGACGCAATTTCTTTTAGATTTTATTAACTAAATCGTTAATACATGCATGATCTTATTACTGAGTATTTCTGTCCTTTTGGAATTTCACACTTTGTTCTCTCTGTCCTTTATTACTTCTTTTAATAAAATATAAAGATTATATAAACAGAAATCATTCACAAAAGTTTATTTTTAACAAATATATAAGAAGCATAACAAACATGGATCTAGAAAAATAAGTGGCAAGATCAGGTGCGAAGATGGAGCCACGGAACCCTGACGACACGCTTGTTCTCCTTGTAATATTCGGGAAAAACAAAAAAAATTATGGAAAAATCAGTCTGTAATGATCATACAAATAATGTGAAATGAAACATATGGAGATAAGAACAATGTTCAAGATCAAAAGTCCATTAAATAATACAAAATAGGAACAGAGCAAACACTGACTTTCAAAACATCAGAGGTGGGATCAGGTGCCATGGAGACGTAAACATCCCTGCCCACCGGTCACACATGCCGTGTGCTCCATGTCATGTTCGGGAAGTAACGGAAACATCCGTCGTCAATTCAGTGTATAAATAATGGACCAACAATTAGTATGAAAAACGTCAGTCAGCATTTGACTCAATGATAAATTGTATTTGCTGACAAGGTCATGTATCGACCATAGAACTTACGAAATGATAACTGAGATATATAAGCTCCGTATGCAGGTTATGAAGGTAGTAAAATATCCAAATATGAAACAGATGTGTCAGACTCTATGGTATCTTTTATCTCAAGCTCACCAGAATATATCGTATCGACATAAGAATGGAAATTTCTATTGTAAATTGACAATACGTCGTCGATATGTCTAAATGTCGAGTTGAAGGCCACAGCAAGTGTTTTCTTCTTTTCACGCATAAGATTTTGCACAAATTCTGCTTCATATGAATACAAAAATAGGTCTGCTAATAACGGAGCGCAATTGGTACCCATGATGGAAGACCTGGTCTCCAAAAACGACATACATGCTGTCAATCAGAAACTCAAGTTTCTATTTGTCAACTACGGAGTACTTGTATGTACAATCAGAATGTTTTTTAGGAAAATAATTTTGCAAATGACCAATGACAAGATAAGTAAATTTACGAGTTCCATTTTTATTGAAAAAGCAGCTGTCAATGATATCAGAAAGTCTTTACTTTAATTTATCGTGGGGAATGGTTGTGTGTATAAAGTTGAAAAGTTTTTAATCTGTTGATTTGGTGAAATCTTGTGATTTCAAATTGTCCAAAAGTTCCTTGGAATTTTTAAGTTTCCACATCTGATTTACACAACTTCTTGAATATATTGTTGCACAGTACTCTTGAAGTCTCTCCTTCACTACTGTAAAGAAGCTAGTCAGTATTCGCTTTATGGCAAATTTTATATGACGACAACGTCATTATTAGACAACAGAACTTATGAAATGATGGTTTTGATAATATTGCTTCATCTACTTGTTTTTCAATAGGAATAGAAATTGTTCGTAAGTAGAGCACACTCTTGGGTATCAAATCCATTGAGAGACATAAACAACATATGCAGGTAATAAAGGTATATTGCGATTTAAAAAAGTAAACGTTATCACGTGTCGAATTGAAGGCCATAGTGTTTTCTTTTTCTCAAGTTTTGAATAAATTCTTTATCAAGTGAATAAAAAATGAATCTGCTTAAAACGATGCAATTGGTAATTCATGGGAATTCCGAGACATTGTTGGAAAACATGGTCTCAAAAAATACATAAATATTGTAAATCAGAAATATCAATTTAATAGTATTTGTGCGACAGTCAGAATGTTTTTAACAAAATATTTATGTCAGTATTATTAGTTCACCTTTTGCGACTTTCAAAAGGTTTAAAATGAACTGTTAAAAATGATTGTTTTCATGCACTTTTTCCTTGTATGCATATAATCATTTTTCCCCTTTTTATATGAACTAGTATTTCTAATTTAAATATTTTAAATATATTGTCTACTTTGATTCAAAAGACCTACATGTATACATTATTTTAAATTTCATTTTATGTCACATTCAATTTCACCTGTATGTGAATAACCATAATCAGCTGATGTTTAAGTTGTCTCATTCCAAAACGAGTTACGGATGTAAGTGTCTTCAATGTTTTATTTTTCTGAAGAAGTTCATTCCGTGCAGGTATAGTCTCAAGCTTTCTTTTTTCATTTAGTTGAACTGGGTGACCCTTCAAAGTTTAAATATAGCATCTGCAAAAATCGTCCCTTTTTGAGTATTCATCAGGCATCTACTTGGCCTTTTATTTCATCTTATTGTATTCCCATCAATTGAAGAATATAACCACAGCTTCATTGACATAAGCAGTAAAAAAGCTTGTCGTTTTTCTGAAGTAAGGCTTCAAAAACGATACGCACATTGTTATGGGCATGATTAACAGATATATACACGATGAATGGTTGTTGTACAATGAAAAGATTATTTTTGCGATTTCTTCGAATTTGTGAAAATAATATTTTTTAATACATGAAAATGTAAATTTTTTTGTAAATTTTGTATTTAATTTCTTTATTAAGGAAGTAACAAAACATGCATTAGCATTTACAAATTATATTGTATGAAAGAAAGAATATATTCTGTATTCATTTGTAGATACAATGACCTTGTCAGTAAATACAATTTATCATTGAGTCAAATGCTTGCTGACGTTTTTCATACTAATTGTCAGTCCATTATTCATACACTGAATTGACGACGGATTTTTTCGTTATTTCCCAATCATGACAAAGAGCACACAGCGTATGTGACCGGTCGGCAGGGGATGCTCACTACTCCATGGCACTTGATCCCATCTCTGATGTTTTGGAGGTCCGTGTTTGCTCTGCTCCTAAATTGTATTGTTTAATGGACTTTCGATCTGTTCGTTATCTCCGTATGTTTCATTGTATCAATACTTCACACTCATAAAGGTAATCAAGTCTCCGAAAATGATTTGCGAGTGAGACTGAGATTTAATACCTCAGGATGAGGCCCTGGGTTAAACAGAGCGAATCTCTGAAAATCATTTTAAAATCATTCTAACTTAATTTAAATGAAAAATTATTTACAGGACAATTCAATTCTTAAAACAAAGATTTAAAATAAATGGCCTAAACAACCAAAAATTCGTATGCTTTGTTACTTTTCTTTCGTTTATACTATGCTTGGCAAATATTAAGCTAAACAACAGAGACAGTTACATGCACATTAAATACTTATAAATTATATGAACAATATGAAGGGGAAAAAATTGACATATTGTCGAGGGCACTTCGTGCTAGTTTAGGTTCCAGATGTTATAAATTGAAGAATGTCTTGTACTCAAGAAATATGATGTCAACGAACTCTGAGTCCATATACACCAAAATGATAATATCAACGAGAAAACTTGCTAAACTTGATGCAATTCAATATCAAATCCATATTTATGGCCTCGTATCACGAGACTTAGGCACAAGGTAAACATTTACGGACAAAATGGGCTGGTGATTTCTCAGTTTTGATATTTATCTGTTTGTATCTTTCACTAGCTTTATCACAGTATTGATTCGCACAACTTTAAAAGCAACAAGAATACATCATATGAAATATGAGTAAAACTAATGTGGCTATTCGCCATTTTTCTCCCCGGATACAAAAACTAAAGCGCTGGACCTCTGGCACTATTGATTTTGTGATAGAGTAAGAATGTGATGGCAACTCTTGGAAGTTGACAACACAAACCAATTTAAACTTAGCCATATATCAAACATGGTAAATGTTCTGCCTTCCTAAAATCTACAACGACTGTTAAATATTTTAAAGAGAGAGGAGAAGAGAATAGTGAACCTAATAAGGCCTAAAGGAAATCCTTAACCATGCAGGGCACATATTAAGAATAATACAACAAAATCAAGTACTAATATCCCAGGCAAAAACTATCATATTGTGACTGATATGAAAGCCAATGAAGCATGTGTCTCGTCAAAGGTGACATGACATGTATGACAACTGATTAATCTATTTACTGTTTGATGTATGTATTTGTTAGATTGTTAGGTAAAAATAAATTTCAAAGTTGAATTCCTTTGAAAATTTTCTTTATTTTTATAATTGCATGTTCTCTCGTAGAACTGATAACTGTTGATGCCTATCTGTCTTTGTAAGGAAAGAAATTATTATAATTATTATACAACCCCCGTGATGACTGCAATAATTTCTAATAAAAGCCTGATAATGCAGGATACTGTAATAATCCTTGTATCATTAACACACGCTTAGTTGTTTGAAGTAATTAACATAAAGGAAAGATGTATGTCAAAATAGTACAATAAAACTAGATGCAGGCTTAATAAAACAATATCATGTGTGTCCGTTATTTTTTTCTTATTTCATCTTGCGTTTACAAATCAGATAATCTATTTCCTAAAGAGTTCCGAGAATATTTTGTCCGAGAAGTTAATAACGCGTGGATTTATGTGAGGAGAGATTCTAAAGTCTCCCATGTTATTAGTGCCAAGGGTAGAGTATTCCCTGAGGAGTCCGTCTTTTCGTCATTTTCAAGGAAATGATCACAGCGGTAGAAGTCCCCTTGCTCCAAGTATTAATGTTTTGGTGTAAATTATTCACATATTATTGACACTTTATTGTCAAAGCAGAGTCTTGTATGAGGCCAAATCTTGAAATATGTCTCCCCATTTAGATCTGACATTATTGACAAACACCGGGTAATATATGAACATGCAGAACTTCTTTTCCCTGGGATTGTGATGTAATGGGAGTCAGAAGATGCCGACACCATCTCAAAGTTAATTTGGAATTTGACATTGTATCGGATATATTTTTCGGGAGAAAACGCAAGCAAATGAAACAATCGGATCGGCGACTACGTCACAACGCCCTGAGTTTTCTGATTCAGTCTGATTGTTTTGGATGCCGAGAATAAAAAAAAAAGATATAACATCGCCGCGAACTGAAGCATCTCCAACAATTATAGAAACGGCTATCAATTTAATCGAAAAGACAGACACTAAGTCAAGAGACTTCTCAAGACGTACCAGTTTGTTTAATTAATTGTTTTCACGAATTCGTGAACTTGAAAAAACCGAAAGTCGTGTGCATTAAGAGTGAAATGTGAAAACAAACTTATTGACATGAAAACATTTGAAAGAAAAAAGCAATACTGATGATAATCGCACAGTTAGCTTAGAAAACAGACAGGGAAAAATACGAGTTTCATTTGGGTGACTTTTGTTTGACTTGTCATGATGTAAATATGGAAGACTAGATTTTGCTGGAGAGAAATTAATTATGTTTCGCTCATTGTTGATCGATAGTAGGTAGGTATTTGTTAAGTGAAATAGGATTGTTTTATCGAAGATCGAACTTTTTCACTCACACGTTCTAAGAAAGGATTGGTGTTAGTGGAACAAAGTTTTCCCGGCCGTTTTGATGTGATTTTACTGGATAGAAGACCCATTCCTTGATTATGACCGGCCGTTTGGTATGATCCAACTGGATATAAGACCCTGTTCTTTAGCTATGACCGCCATTTGATGTGATCGTACTGGATATAAGACCCCTTCTTTAGCGATGACCGGGTATGCAGATATGTAACTATAGCAGCTTGATTTTTGCTGGAAATGTCACCGTGTTATTAATCGTGTCCATGACAACAGATTATTGGGAGTACAGAAGTTTTAACCAAACCATGCTAAAAGAAACGCTGCATAAAGCAAATCAAACAGAATTTGATCAGCCTGTGGATACGAATTCGTATATGTCCCTATGGTACAAGAGAAAAATGCTTCCCATATTACGAGACTCTGTCAAAAAAGAGATATTATATCAACCCCCAGTTTTAGTGGAGAATTTTTTCAGTGTTACAAAGAACATATCAGACTCCAACAAAGAAAAATCGGCGGACATTCATTCCAACATGCTCGCTGGTTTAGTGGTGTTATTTGAACAGTACGGAAACCTTTTCCGCGATTGTGATGCCCTAGAAGGTAATTGTATAATTTTCTCTGTTTTTCTGTTGTAAAAATTGTATGTTAGTTAAAAAATATATTCATCCTAACTTATCATATGCAGGATCATTATTTCAATTTTGAAAAAAAAAAAACCGGGAAAAGATTTTTAGGTGAAACAAAATTATCATTAATAACTAGATGAGAAAAGCCCAATAAGTGACATACAAATGGATAACAAGGAAACAGTGATCAATCAATCTACCGAGAATCTGCTGGGTAACATAAATTTCTTTTCATTAAGTATCAAACACCAAGCTCTTTGTTGTAAACGAAATGAATCAAACTCTCAAAATTAATTACAAGAGCTAGTAGAAGACAGTTCCCGGGCAGCTGATACATCGCTAAGGCGAACTGTCATGGTCTTATGTCTAGATTCTGAAGAACTTTTAGACAGAGTATCATGAAGTTATTTATACACAGACAAATTCGGGGCCTTGATTTACAGAAAACGTCAACTAAAAATGTCATTAGGTCGCAAAACTCACAAGAGAGTTTCTGCAGTTACGTCAAAGACCTTTAATGATCTTGTTGAAATAATTCAAACAGAAGCATCTGTCTTGTTCGAATTGATATCTCTTAGATCATAGTCCACGACAATTTAAATCGAAGTTTGAAAATCTGAATAATCTTCTTTTGAAGGATGCCTTATTTCACTTAATTCCCGTAAAGCTGGGAGGATGCCTAGGTAGGTGGAAGCAGGGAGTTCGGTTTTGTTGTCGTCTTTTCACGTGTCCTCATTCTCATAAATGATAGTAACTTTCTCGACAGTAAGTTTAATTGGCTATGACCAATTAATCATGAATTGATTTTCTGACTAATCACGGCTTAACTCTGTATAATTATTCATTATGGTCAGCTCTGACTATAAATAATTAAATAGTCTATGATTAACTCATATATACATGTACATGTATGTGCATCCGTATTTTGTTGTATGAGATATCAAGGCCATTTTTTCTTCTCCTGATTTGTACCGTTAAAAAGGTCTTTTAAGCTTGATTACGGTCCTTTATCCATATTTCATTAATTAAATATTATAAAAGAGGTAGGTATTTAGTAATTTGTCTTTAAATTATATCGAGGATCCCTAAGAGCATTTCTCAAACATTATTCCAACTACCACTAGCATAAAAAAAAATTGAATTTCTATTTCCTTAAAATCATTAAATTAAATTTATGTTTGACCCACTTGATATGCACTTTAAACCCTGCCCCACCCACTGAGCTCTGTAACATGCAAGAGCTTTTCATGCAAACAAAGTTTCTGTTGTCCGTTATGTTTTACACAGAATTCTTCTATTATTTATATTAAAAAAAGAGTTTCATTCGCTCTTCACTTTAGATTATGTATTATGTAGATATTATCCAAGAAAAATATGCTTGCATTTGTGAATTCTTTCTAAAAATCAATTTAAATTTCACTATATTTATCAACTCCTCTAGAATGCTGTCCGCGTCTTTGCAGTAAATATACACAATGTATTGTACTCTCGAAAATCGCGTAGGTCTAAATACATGTATAACATACTGAGTTAATTCTCTACTTTCAACGTTGAAATTTGTTCATTCTACTGATAAAAGGAAAGGAAATAATTGTCAATAAAGATCTGTCTGTGCTCCGAAATATAAGATGCATTTTATAATAATGGAAGGAGTTTTCCATAGCTTTGAATTTTCCAAATAATATATCTTAAGATGTAACAAAGTGCGTATAACTGAATATTTGAAACATTTTTTAAGTACAGTGCAATGTTGTAATAGAAATTCATTCACTTCTTATATGTCACTTAAACTACACGGTCCGTCAGTTTATCATGTAGCTATATAAGGTTTAGCAAATTACACACATTCAAAATAGCTAACGGCCCAGCCAAGAGAGTAATTCCTTTTCGCCTCCAGAGATTTCCTTATCAGAAACAACCCATCAAATCGCTATAAACTTAATTGATAGAAAGATGCCAAATAAGAACCAATTATGGAAAATACAGAATAAGATGTATACGCATGGAACAAAAAGACAAGCGCATGAAGTACAAACATGTATCTCCTATTCTGGCCAGGAATTAGATTAGTATGTATCAGGCAGGAAGATTGTAAATATATCTCAAGAGTTCTGGGTTAAAAGGGCACCTTCCAGGTATAGCTCCCACAAATTCCCCTCTCTCCTGTGTGTGCAGGGGGGTGTATTTGGGTGTCAAGGTGTACGTATGTTCGTGTACGTACATATCCTTCTGAACTTATTGAATTCAAAATCGTTTTCTCCATATGAAATATATTGATCGTTTTTGTTTACAAGCCATGAAATGAAACAGTTATAGATACAAAGAGTTGATGCTCCTGCATGTAGTTCCTTTGATTAAAACATTTTATTTCACAGTTTGTTAAATTATTCATCTTCACTTGAAGAAATCCACATTTACTAATTATATAAATTACTGGAAAAGTAAAGTGATTGGTTACATTTTGCATTTGGTAACACTTTTCTCGATGAATCATTACTTTTGACGCAAATATAAATTATACATGATTATTTCTTTAAATACATACGTTTTTTTATCCTTGTCTTCAATTAGTACAAATTCTTCATTAATATCTTCCGTCTTACATTTTAATTCATAACATGTATAGATATATTTCTTTATTTGAAAATATTTGGATATCAAAATTGTATTCATATTATTGTTAAGATTGTTTATTAATATCTTCCGTCTTACATTTTAATTCATAACATGTTTATATTTCTTTATTTGAAAATATTTGGATATCAAAATTGCATTCATTATTGTTTAGATTGTTTATTTCTCCTGAAGTAAGATAATGTAAATATAATGCAAGATAAACAAATTATGTACCAACAGTCTGTAATTGAACAGTTTTTTTCATTCTCATTTTTGTTAGTTTTGTTTTCCGTGTGAGAGGCTGTAATGCTTTCCTCCCAAGTATTCCATTCCTAGCGGCTATTATTTTTGGTAGCATTCCAGCTTGGCAAGCCGACGTCACTTGTTTTCTTGTTTTGACTGTTCCTCTCTATGTGGTTTTTGATCCTGCTCTTTTTTCCTTTTTCTGGCTTTCATACCAAAGCTTAATTCTCCACTTTTCGTTGCTTTCCATCCTTCCCTCAAGCATGTCCCTTCCTGATATATCTTTTATTCTTTATTTCCATCATGTTGTTACCATCTGTTTCGTAATATTTTTCACAGACAATTCATTTAATTAGGAATGCATTTACACTCATATGTTTGCTCGTTTAGTGATTGTCCATGTTTGGCGGCCAGTAAAACTGATCTTTCAACGCGTTTTGAAAGGCGTACATTGCTCTCCTTATTTCTAGAATCTTTGAAATGCCATTTTAGCTTCCTGTAGCTTATTTAGGCAATCTGTGTCCACCACTTTCTTTCCTGCCTTCTAGGTCTGTTCTGGACATGTGTGTCGACCATCTTTTCGGCCCTTTTATTCTCTATAATCTATTTTGTCATATTGTCTCCACTAAATTCTTTATCCATCACAGTGCATACATATAAGTGTATGTTCTACGGGGCTTAATGTGAGGACATGTTTTTTCTGCTGTAATTCATTCTTAGTTTCATACACTATTTTGCATTTTACTTGAGGTCTGTTAATTCTTTTTGATACTTCTGATGTACATTACATATCCATGTACTTTTTTTCACTCAGATCTTGAAACTTTGATGCTACATGCAAATCTTTTTATTGATATACGGAATGAGAAAAAATGCTTAAAAGGACGAACCTTCAAAACCATCAAAGGCGGGATCAGGCGGCATGGAGGACTGGGCATGCCATCCGACCGGTTTGTCCCGATATGTGCTCTTTGTAACGATCGGGAATAACGGACAAATCCGTAGACGACTTAATGTGTAAATAATGGCGAAATACGTCAATAGGTATTAGGCAGAGTGAAAGGTTGTATTTGCTGACTACATCTTTGTATCCACCTTAAAACTTGGGAAATGATTAATTCAAACGAGACTGCTGACATCCTTGCTTCACCAAATTGTGGGTCAATATCTTGCTTCATTTTAAAACATGTTTTTATGTTGATTATGCTCTTGTGTATCTTATCAAATGAGATAAATTCCATATGCAGTTGATAAAGAGTATTGCTTAATAAGTAAGTAAAAATTGTTTTGAACGCTCTACGCTGCAAATAACACAAAAAAAATTTTCTACATTTTGGAAAATAAAGAAAGTTAAAGTCATCACGTTAATCATAATGCTTGGATGTAAGGTTACCCTAGGTTAGTAGGTTACTATTTTTAACGTCTTTTTCTAGTAAAATGTCAAAATATGATATAGATGCATCAGACAGATATTTTTAATTTTGAGCTTACTGGAATATATCGAGTCGACTTATAGGTTTAAAATAACTATTGCTTATTGGTAATAAATCATATCAGTAATTAATTCACAAATCTCTTCACCATAAATCTTTACAAATATTCTTATGATGCAATATCCTAGTCTGTTGATAGTTTGTATAACATACACATTTATACACATTTTATGTGTGCAAAATATCATTTTTACTTATATGAAGCAGAATTTGTCCAAAATCTTTAACGTTAAAAAAACCCTGCTGTGGCCTTCAACTCGACATTCAGATTTGTCAATTAACAATGGTTATTTCCATTCTTTTGTCGATACGATATATCCCGGTGAGCTTGAGATAAAAGATACCACAGAGTCTGACATATCTGTTTCATACTTGGATATTTTACTTGGAAAGGACGACATGATAATTTTACAACCAAGCACTATGATAAACGTGATGATTTTAACTTATATGGTTTTTGGAGACCAGAACTTCAATCGTCAACTTCCCTTACTTATGCATCAATATACCTTCATCAACTGCATACGGGGTTTATATCTCTCAGTTGATTCGATTCACAAGATCATGCTCTACATACATGTATATACAATTTCTCAAACGAGGTAAATTATTAACAAACAAG